GGACTAGATTGATTTAAAACTCATAACAAATGGGAACTCTGCAGCAGGCAGTCAGATGAGTTCCTCATCAACACATCGCTAAAACCGACACGGTTGTATAAGTTATAGGGGATAAGTATTGAGCCTGAACTGTTCAAGGGAGGCTGCTTGAGCTAGGATTGAAGCCTTTCCTCTGAGCTGTTAAAGGGAGATTCTTGGGATTGTTGACAGTGCTGAACACATCCTAAAGAACAGCTGAATTTGTTTCCCAGGATTGCTTGCTGTCTAAATATCTCTGTGTGTCAAGTACACTTTTGTAAAGAATGGAGATGTGCACATGCACAGACAGCAATTGAACAGGGAAAATTGCCAAGTCTGATTTCAGTTCTGAAGTATTACAGTGCTAACGTAAGATTTATCTCTATTCTGTGAAGTATTCTTGGGCTCAGTCCATCACAAGTCTTTGTTTAGCTAGAGTTTTAGAAATATTATTTTGATTTCAAAATTATCTGGCTTGAGATGATTAGTAAAATATATAGAAATCCAGTAAGCAACTCTCCAAGAGTAGCTCTTTTTCATGTGCTGTTCTTTCTAATATGGATTTGGAATATTTGGGATGGTGGTGGTGTTTGGGGCTGGCAAACTTTGTATATTCAGTACTGCCTTTGAGCAAACACAGCCCAGTCGCTCTGCATTAGTCCAGAATCTTCAGCTGGTTACAATGCATTGATGGCTTTTTCCAGCACAGCTTATGTCAGGAGACGCACTACCAACATAAATACAGGGTAAGGGCTGCTTCTCAATGTAGCACTAATGGAGAAAGTACACCTCTCTGCTGCTTGTCTTAAAGTTGGTGCTTGCAAAAAGTTATTTTCAATCACATTAATTCTACTTATGAAATACTGCGATCTAACAGTGTCTTTCTCCAGGCAGGGACACACACAGGAGAAGTATCTGGGAGATATGTAGTCCTTCAAGTCCTGCCTCTTTATCACTTCCCAAAATTTGGAAGTGGGCTTGAACCGCATCACTTGTGCTGCACACAAGCTACACTGTAGGCCTGCTGCCCCTGAATCCCCCTTCCTGGAGAGGCAACTGTGCATGCTTGCAGCTCCCACTGAGCTCTTACAAGACATAACCACATACTTGGCACAGATGTCTTTACCAGCAGCTTTTTTTTCCCTATCCTGTGCATGTTTTTCTTTTTTTTTTGATTGCCTTATATTCAGTTGCTTTACAGATGGGATTACTTTGAAAGCTGGAGGATTTCAATTGTAAGTAATTTTCTTAAATTCCTCTTATTTTAATACAGCAGAATATTCCAGTGTTGTACCTTGTTATCTATGAAGGTAATTTATTAAATCCCGTATTTCAGCACTGATAAATTTGTATAATCGTATAACCCCTATTTCTCTCACTGCTGAATTATATGGAGAAACCTTGCAGTAATGAATTTGTACAGTCCATAGAAGTAGGCTTCTAGAACAAGGATGACTGCATGCAAGAAATAACCTCAGACTTCATCAAAGCAATAACTGGTTTGAATATATCCTTGCTAACTGATGTTTTTCCTTGTACTGCCAGCTTGAACAATGAATCACAAAAATATGATCTCCCTGATTAGTACTTCACTGTAATTGTAATCATGACATCATTTAAACAGGTGTAGCACAGAAGTCTGATACATGACCTTCATTTGCACAAACCAATACTGCTTGGTTCTCTGATTGAATCCTTCTGAGGAAGGCAAATAAATAAAGTGTTTGATTGGCATATCAACCACACTGCTTTTGTAAGGTGATGTATTTGATATATTTAGTGAGGGGCTGGGGGGGGCTTTTTTTTTTTTTAGTACTTGTTCAGATCTAGGAGACAGTCCTTTAACTATACAGATGAGTGTCCTCATCATTCTGCAAAGTATTTTCACCTCTTGGTTAATTCCTGAACAGGAAAAATGGAGGAGTACGGAAAGATCTGAAGTTGTAAGTGTTAAGAAAACGTTGTAACTGACAACACCCTCTCAGTAGAAAAGGCTACTTGGATAAATTGAGGTGATAAATATCGCCGCTGCAGCAAGTATTTACAGCAGGGTCTGAACCTCCTTGAATGTAACGTCATCTAACCTCAACGTTACAGTAAACCAAGCTTCTTAACTGGGATGCTTATGGGGATGGTTACGTTATACCAAATCTCCCGTCAGAATTGTCTCATGGTTCAAGCCAAGTCAGACACTCATGAATATATGGTGGGTTTAATTCACCTTGATATTAGTAATTAGAGCCCTGTCCATCTCAGAGTATCCAAATCTAATAGCACAATCCACAGGGCTGTGCCAACTTGCATTAAATTCACATTCAAATACCTAGGTAATGAGGTTGCCTTCAATAAAAAGGCTGTATTTTAGCTGTAATATGAGCATTTAGTAAAATCCTTCTTGGTATGTTTTTCATGGTTCAAAGAGCTTAGATAGTCTAACTCCTATCAGCTCTTCTCCTCCTAAAATCCCCAAATGAAAACCTTTTCGTCTGAAATTCTCTTTTCTCTCGCTGATGTAGCAGAGAAGCATTATCCATGCTCAGTAGCTGGTTAGTAGGGTGATAAATGACTTGACAGGATAAGCTTTCTCCAGACACGTCATAAATGGGATAAGCCTTTGTTCTGAGGAAATTCCAGTCCCTCCGAAACGCAGCCTGTCTCCCATCCCCTGGCTGCTCTGTAGGCTGCCACAGTGCACCATTCTTACACAGTCCAAAGCCTGCCGTTTTCAAAGCAGACTAAGTGAATTAAGAAATTTAACAAAATCCATCTTCTGATTCCTTTAAAAATCCCAGCAGGCTTTGCTACAGAACACACTCTCTTCCCCAAAAATATATGTAGTTTTAACAGAAAAATCATTCTCTTCTATTTATCTCCTGTTTCTCTGGCTTCCTATTTCTCCTGCAATAGCTGCTTTCGGGAACCTAGAATAGAAACACATGCAAAGTGTCTTGTATCGCTGCGCTTATTTTTTCATGAACTGGCACAAGACTTAGCCAGTATGAGCAGCTTTGCATGCTGCTTTTGTGCATATCTGCAACGCTCATGCTTTGAAAACATCCAATAATAATTTATAGTCATGAGAAGTGTTCTATGTATTCTAAAAGTACACTCATCTCTGTGTCCTTTGGGTTAAACTTAACTC